AAGAGTAAGGAAAAATGAAGAAAGAAGGCTCAAGTTTGTTAAAGACAAAATCACTAAGTTTTTAAGAAATGTACTTTTGCTATTTTGACTACTTGAGCACTAGGCTCAGAAATATTGTCTGATACTACTAGGTTCCACTTAATGATAACTCCTTACCTCCTTTTTATGCTATTAATTTTTTTTAGAAACCTAAAATAGAAACATACTCTTGTCAACCCTTGACTAAGTGCCAAAGCTCCAAATGAATAAGGTCCATATTTCAGTCTTAGAAAGAATTGATCATTTCATTCAAAAAGAACAAAGATCAAATGCAATTTATTTACCTCAACCAGTATACCAACAAAAGGTATAGAAGCTTCTTCGTATTTCACAAAGAATAACTCAGGATTAGTCTTCCAGACTCCAAACCATTTGTCTTTCAACCTTAGTTTTTCTGATAGGTATTTACTCATGGCCTCATCAGCATCTTCTGCCTAACAGAGGAAAAAAAAATGTGCCCATATGAATACCTTAGATTATAGATTTATAACTGTTTTTACTGATTTCTATTTAAAAATGGAAACAATTAGGCCTTAATGGAAAGTCATAGATTTTAACTGAAACTCTATTTCATAGAAAAATATCAGACATTAAAAGATTAAAATAAACTTAAAGAGGTCTATTTACTCAATAGAGCAATTCAGAGATGAGACAGCCACTTATTTATGTCTTCAAGTAATTTATTAGTTCACTGAGCGGAATAAACATAATTATACCAATTAAAAACCCAGTAATTACCGTATTGAAAAACAGATAGTTATTTTTTCTGAACTGTAAAGATGTAATGATCTATTTAAAACATATTCAGTTCATGAAAATTTAAAATAGCACTCCATCCTATAAACAAATGAGAATAGTAAGCATTTGATAAATATTTGCCATTTGATTTTTTAATTTAAATTCATCTACCACTTGATGATATATAATCTAGCTATTATTATGAAACTCAGTCATTAGATACTGCCTAATAAATGACAGCAATTTATATAAACATTTTTTCCATTGCCTATAACAGACCTGGCCTTCTCCAACCCTCATTATCAGATGGGGTAGGTTGGTCGTTAATACTGTCCTACGTTTTTTTTTTTTT